CAGAATACTGCCCTTGTCACAATGAGCGAGGACGGGGATACGGAGTCTCGCACTCTGAGGGACACGCTTCATCGTATAGTCACAGATAACCTTGTCATGGACCCAGAAGACAGCCTCCGAGCGCATGCGGCACTCGTAGGTCTGATCTTCCTCCTGATCTCTCTTGGTTGTCTTGCGGTTGAGTGACAGCTCATGGTCTTGGGGGTTTGTGGGCACAAGAAGTGTGTTGATTGTGTTAAACTAGGAAGACAAGAAAGGAAAAGAAAATATGGAGGGCTAAATACATGGTGGTGCGGGCTGGTGGGCCCACATGACAATGTCAGTGAATGGAGGTGGGACAGACCCCACCACAACAAGAGAAGGTGCAGCGAATTGTTTATTCACCACTGCATGGAAACACGGAACCTAAACGGGGCTATTGGGTGAAGATACCTAGGATAAGCAGACGGGAATGAACATGCTTTATGTGTCTCGGAATGTTGTCGTGGATGGTGTGGGCCAAATGACATGGCGATATCATCTTTTTTGCGGACTGTTGGACCCTTGAAGTCATTTGAGTTAATGTTTATAACGATGGGATGCAGAACGGAAAAGCGGGGACACGGGTGTGTCTCATAGAGCGCCATGAGTAACCATGACACTGGACACTCCCTCCTGATAAGCTAGGATATGTGATGGGCAATCCGCGGATGCAACGAGTGTCCGAACCCCAGAGTCCAGTTTCATACATCATCATATGCTGAAAGTGGAAGCAATGGCATTATTCACACCTACTCATTTTCCATGACGATGCGAGCTTCTTTCTTGTTTTCACCCCCTACCCCTACCGCCTGCATCGAGAGTCACGCATCATGCAGGGGAAACAACAAAGAAGAGTCACTGTGTCACATACGCCCTGAAGACTCAAATGACAATCAACTTGACTGTCTTAAGACTCCTATCTACACTACCATACATGAATGTTTATCTGACTTCTCTCCTTCCCGTAGGTAATCATGGCCCAGATGCTTGTGCTGGCTAGCTGGCAACGGGGAGAGGGTGATGTGTAGAGCACCTCTCCCCCTGTTTCTTGCACAAAGTATCTCCCAATGGTTGGTATATGTCACACGGACATTTGCCCATAGGTCTGGGTTAGGGTTGCCGAGGCTTAGCAGACTCTCAATGCCTGACATCAGCCTTATGAATGCCCGGCGACCATAGGTCGCGAGGCTCAACCTCACTTTGACCAGACTCTCAGCCACCGGCATTGCTTACCTAAGCCCCTCTCGACGCCATCAGGCTAGCGAGTCAGCCATCGAGCTGCCGATGACGCTAGTAAGCGAGATGAGGCAATCCCCAGTCATCACAGAAGCGATCATAGCAACCGAGCAAGAAGCAGGGCGACCGAACGAGGACGGGCGCCAGAAGAAGGAAGTAGAATGGTTGAAGGCAGTCAGGAAGATCCACATGTATGAAGATCGCTGTATAGATACCCTGAGGCCTCAAGCAACAAGGCTCGGTACGTACCTCAGTACGCACCAAGCCTCTTTGTATAAGAAGGCCTGAGAACTCAACCCTCGTCTTGAGGGCTGAAAGGATCAACAAGGCCTTCGAGACCAAAGTTAATTATCAGCTGAATTGAACCACCGTTCCAAGCCCATACTCTGCCCTTGTCACAGTATACTAGTGTCTCATGCTGGCCACGCCATTCTCTTGGTCCTCCCGCTGACCCGGCCCCACCGCAATCAAACAACTCTGATTCCTACGATCATTGAGTCAAGTCTATTCTATACTCGTCGTCCTCTTTGAACTCCATATCAGCACCGTCGTCCTCATAATCGAGGAAGTCGCCGGCATCGAGCCGGCCTGCCGTGAGCCGGCCACACAGAAGCCTTTTTCTGGTGACCGAAACGCCTTGATAGAAGAGCTTCTCTTACTGCACTAAGGGCATGCTTGTTGGTCCGACCGTTGGTGATACGGCCGGTGCCAGTACGACTGGCGACTCTGCCGCAGCCAGAAACGCTGCTGACAGGCTGTTGGGGATGTCGCCGAGGACAGAGTCGGGGGGGCCGCGTGGCTGGTGTTGTGGTAAGGGAAAGACTCGGAAGCCGCAGCCCACGTTTCCAGCCCTGTCCGCGGAAAAGTCAGTGTTAGCTGGGTGGAGAAGGGGATGTTGAGGTTCACATTGGGTAACCCGCTACCGCGAAGTTCCCGTTATATTTCGAAACATACCTGATAGATGGAGAACGACACAGTCCGCACCGTAGTTATGCTGAGCATCGGGGCCGTGGCCCCTACAGGATGGCGGGGTAGTTTGGAAAATTACGTCCCGGTCACGGACCACCTGGATCAGAGATCGGCGTCGTGGGAGTGCGGGTGTTGGTTGGGTTTAAGGGAACATGTCCCTCAACGCACGAAAAGAAGGCGTTGTCTTTGAACTTGGACGAGATTCCTGGGAAGGTGCATGTGAGGCCCCGTTACGATAGGAAGGGCGGGAACGGACGCTGAAGACGGTGTCTCGGTCTTCTTCGCGGGGACATTCCTGTTGATGCTTGAGTTAGCCGCAAACTTGCGAGGATACTGGGCATGTCAGATACCACTTGACATACCTTCGCGGCGACGGGCCTCAAGCTTCCCGCTTGAAAAAGAATGGGTTGAGAGTGTCGCGTACTACTAGAAGTCTGGACTCAGTGGGAAGTCAGCTTGATGTCAGAAGGTGGACAGCCAATCTGTTGACATGATTTCTGTCTCTGGCTCTGTTGGGACACCAACAAGTAGAGGAAGACAAGGCATCATAGCGTGCAAATGGAGAGAGAAGGGATGTGATACGAGTTGGATGGAAAAAAGGGGACGGGGCGGACCAACGAAGGCCTGTAGTCGCCAATGAAGTACGTACCTTTGATCGCATCTTCAGGATGAGGTGGTGGTGTTTAAGGCGCCAAGTAGATGTGCTGAGTTGCTCGTTGCGGCCTCCGTAAGGCATCTTCTGTGATCAGGTGGAGACGAGATGGGTACAGACTTGAAGCAAACAATATGATGAAAGGCGGTGATGGTTGATGATTGATCACGACGCGGCGTTGCATTTGAGTGTTGTGATAGAGGACGAAGGGAGAAGAGGAAAAAAGGAGATGGAGGAAGGAAGAGTGAAGATGGAGGTGGGGAAAGAGAAGAAAAAGAATGGAATGTGGGCGGTGAGCGAGGGGAAGGAAAGGAGTAGGGCTTTACTTCTAGGGCAACGTGGACAAAGCCAGTAGCCTCGTTCCTTCTTACATTGCCCTGCCTTGAGCACCTTCTCAAACCGGTCAACCTGAGATGAGCAACGGCAATCTCCTAGCAGGTACTCATCCACGTCATCACTCACCTGGTGCCCCCGCCCGTGACCCTTCTGGTCTTTTCCCTCGGTAGGTACCCAAGGCAGCTACCCGTCTCTGCCCCTCCTCTCGCCCTGTGCTTGCCCCAGGCTCCTCCTCCCGCCCTTCCCCTGTCCCGCCTTCCTTCGCAAGGGGTATATGTGCTAGAATTTTGTGTCCACTCCTCAACAAAAAACAATGTGCGGTTGGCGCAGTGGTCAGCGCGTTCGCTTCTAAATGTGGAAGGTTCCTGTACCAAATAAAGGGAGGGGATAGGCTCCCTCTCGGTGGGTAGTGGTCAAAGAATCCGCCGTAGCTGCGAAAGGTCCTGGGTTCGACTCCCAGACTGCACATCTTTTTTGTCTCTTCTTCATTTTCCTGTCTTTGTTTTCCTTTTGCCGGTTGTATCGTGGTGGCAAGTGGTTCCTCTGCAAGATATACGTCTCTCCTCTTCTCCACGTCGTCCATCAACATGATCATCGTTTTACGAGGCGACAAGTTCAGTTGCCAACGAAATATCACATACCACGGTGGCTGCGTGCCCGCACGGCTCCCCTTTTATCCTCACCACGCACGTTGTTTCATTTCTTTTCCATCTCTTTCAATTCTCGCTCCAATCTCTCAATCGCATACTTCGCCCCATAGAATTTCCCTTTTTTTCCGCACATATCAAACACGCCTTGAATGAGAAAGAACTCTGCTGCCATGGTAGTTGTGGTGGTGGTGGTGGCGGTCACCCTCATATCTTCTATTTCCCTCACTCCGTCAACTCTGTCTCTAGGGGTATTTCTGCTGTCTTCGTACCCGCCACTAGTAATCTCTCTTGACCCAGACCCAAACCCAGACCCGACCAATCCCTCCTCATCTCTCCTTATCTCACTCTCTTTGGCACTCTCACTCAAATCTTTCTCCATGCCCATGCGCATCCTTTCCTCCCATCACTTAACCACCCCCTCATCCAAGCCAGGTTTGTCCGCGCCAGCTTACCAGTGTGGA